GAGCGATCATGGGTGGTGTGTGGGGCGGGGGGGGCGGGGGGTCTATTGTCTGCTAGGAGCTGAGCAGAGACAAAACTCCAGTCTGCGGCTCAAAAAGCGTCACTCTGCCTGCCCCAAACTCAGCTTTCCATACTGCGCAGCCTTGAAACGGAGGGTTGGGTCTGGAGCTGTGAATGGACGCAGGGGCCTGGCTTCGGAGTGTCCGTATTTTAGATTGGAAATAGGTGGAAATCGGACACAGGTCTGCAGTTGCAGCTGGGAGCCACGTTGGGGGAGTGACATGATCCATGTCCTCTCGGCTGAAGAGAGCTCACTAAATAATTAGTCCCCCCGTACACAGCACCCCTGGATCTGGGAACATGGTGTTTGAGTGACTCTTAGCACCTTAAGCGCTTGCCAGTAAATCCGCAGCCTCTGGCTTGTCTGTGATCTTTTCACCATACTCTTGTTGTGCAGTTACCTGTGGCACATGGAATGGGCTTTGCTCTCCGACTGGACTGCTGATGCTTTCCGTGTGACCGATCAATGGAGAATTACCTGTGTAAACGCTTTCTGGTGCTCGCTCCCAGGGGAATAAGCCTTCTAACTTTTGCTTGCCAGTAAATCCGCAGCCTCTGGCTTGTCTGTGATCTTTTCACCATACTCTTGTTGTGCAGTTACCTGTGGCACATGGAATGGGCTTTGCTCTCCGACTGGACTGCTGATGCTTTCCGTGTGACCGATCAATGGAGAATTACCTGTGTAAACGCTTTCTGGTGCTCGCTCCCAGGGGAATAAGCCTTCTAACTTTTGTGAAACTTGAGAGCTTTTACCCCTTTTCCAGACCAGGGCAGGGGTCACCCAAACACTCACAGCGAGAGCCAATGGAAAACCAGGAGGATTTTCATGGAAACGTGTCCCTGTACCTCATTTGAAAAAATCATTTGAATAAATCATTTGAATTTTGTTTTTCCTCCCCCACTCACAAAGGAATAATACGAGTAACATTGTCATCAGCTCTCCACGTATATTCACACGCTGTCCTCGGTCATGGTCATTCCGCCCCTGTTTACAGGTCTTTCCTTCCTTCCTGCTGCTGCTTACCCAGAGCCACGTCCCTCTCTGCTGTCAACTCCCTCCTCAGTCTAGACTGGCAAGTTTTTCCGCAAAAGCAACTGCTTTTGCGGAAAAACTTGCCAGCTGTCTACACTGGCCGCTTGAATTTCTGCAAGAACCCTGACGATCTCATGTAAGATTGTCAGTGATCTTGCGGAAATGCTATGCTGCTCCCGTTCGGGCAAAAGCCCTCTTGCACAAATGCTTTTGTACAAGAGGGCCAGTGTAGACAACACGGTATTGTTTTGTGCAAAAAAGCCCTGATGGTGAAAATGGCGATCGGGGCTTTCTTGCGCAAAACCGCGTCTAGATTGGCACGGACGCTTTTCCGCAAAACGTGCTTTTGCGGAAAAGCATCCGTGCCAATCTAGACGCTCTTTTCTGCAAATGCTTTTAACGGAAAAACTTTTCCGTTAAAAGCATTTGCGGAAAATCATGCCAGTCTAGACGTAGCCGAGAGGTATATTAAAAAGTTCACTCCCTGTTTGAAGCTCCAGTCTTATGTGTCATGTGCGCTTCATGTATGACTAATACATGTCAATGTATGGAAACTGTGTGCGGTGCGTGGTGGCACGTCGGGGATCCCCCGATCCTGCACCCCCATAGCAGCCAGACCAGACTCCGCCGGGTTTATTGCTTCTCCAGGATACAGCCCAGCACAGACATGATGTGGTTACAGGAGTCAGGGCCAGGATGCCTCAGCCCCCTTGGGGTAGGGGTCCATCGCTCCCCCTCCCCCCCAACCTCCAGTACTCAGCTTAGTCTCCTCTCTTCATGTTTTCCCTGCAAAAACTGCCTTGCTCCCAAGCTCTGCCCCCCAGCCAGCTGGCCGTCTCTGCCTCCCTTCCTTTCTCTCTCCCCCTGGGAAGAGCCTTATTATCGACGCAGGCTGGGATTAGGTGTCTGGGCCATTCCACATGTAGGTGAGTCAGTGGGAATTGCACATCACAGTGCAGGGGAACCCCGGGTTCCAGAACAGACAGCCCCCCCACTACGTCACACGGTGCATGTCTTATTCTGTCATCACATTGACTAATACAGCCTGCGGCACGATTGTGTTTTCTCTTGGTGTCTCTCCAGCTTTGGGGCTCATGACCGTTCAATAACTCTTTTCAGGTCCTGGCGTACCTCCTAAAGAGGAAGACAAAACTGTTAAACAACAGGATTTTACAGCTGGTGCTTTCGGTAGCAGGCACGGCAGAGCTGGGTGTGGAGTCCTCGACGATAAAGAACTACGATGCCTTCCGATACGTCCTCTGTAACTTTGAGGTAAAGCTGCTGGCACCGTGCATGTTCCCTTGGCTGTAGTAGAGGAGGCGCTAGAGTGTAAACTTAGTTCTGGGGCAGCATCTCCTGAGCTGGTGTATGTGATAAGAAGGCAAGAACGTCTCCAATGTGGGTCTGAGCACAGGGTGTTTGAATCACAGACTCCTAGCAAGGGAAGGAACCTCAAGAGATCATCAAGTCCAGTCCCCTGCCCTCATGACAGGATCAAGCACCCTCTAGATCATGCCTGATAGATAATAAACCGCCTCTTAAAAATCTCCAGTGATGGAGAGTCCATCATTGGCCGTCTGGATTTAGGTGCAGTTTGGATCTGTCTCCAGATTCCTACCAGGAGGGGAAGTTCTTTTTGTTTCTCGCTCCAGGCAGCAGATCCAGAAGAGTATGTTTGTATCCGGAGATGGGCTGGGGATTAATTGCTTGTCCTTTGGGTGCGGCCACCCCATCTTCAGCTGTCCACGTTCCCTGATCGTTCCAGGAACTGAACAAAGCTCAGATTGGCACTTTACAAAGGAAAGAATTGTCTCTGTGTTACGGGTGGGAAACTGAGGCACCAAGAATTGCCCAGCTTCATACAGCAGCCCAATGAGAGACAGAATCCATTTCCCTGCAGTCCCAGGCCAGTGTGCTGTCCACTAGTCCACATTTCCTCCAGGCATTTCTGGCCCCTACTAGATGGTGTCTGTTGCATGTTTTTTGGATGGTATTTAAATCAAATAGATTTAGTGGGGACGTCCGTTGGTAAGAGCAAGGAACAAGGGTTCCCGGTTTCTGTTCTCGTCTGCCACTTACTCAGTGTAGGCAAATAGCACCCTGCCTCAGTTTCCCCATCAGTAACAAACATGCCCTGTCCTTCATGCGGGTGCTGTGAGACCTCACGTGTAAAGAGCTTTGAGATCTCGGCAGAAGGTAGTGTGCTGGGGAAAGAGGCCTGACTTATTAGAGAAAAACTAGTGCTACCCACAGACAAAGGCTATGTCTACTCTCACGGCTTCTTGCGCGAGGAATATGCAAATGAGGCTAAGCGTGGAATATCGCTGAGCCTCATTTGCATATCGAATGAGCCACCATTTTTTCAGAAGAGGCTCTTGCGCTAGACGGAGCGTCTACCCTGCCCCTTCTTGCGCAAGAAAAAACCCTCGTGCGCAATGCCGTTACGCCTATTACTTTTCAGGAAGAACGGCATTGCGCACAAGGGTTTTTCTTGTGCAAGAAGGGGCCGTGTAGACACTCCTTCTTGCGCAAGAGCCTCTTCTGAAAAAAATGGTGGCTCATTAGGTATGCAAATGAGGCTCAGCGATATTCCACGCTTAGCCTCATTTGCATATTACTTGTGCAAGAAGCCACGAGTGTAGACATAGCCCTAGTGAGGTTCACTGACCTATGCAGTGACACTTAGACCACAGCAACGGATAAGACCAAGAGATTTCTACAGCATGGGCTAGGAGCCAGCTGGCTTTTAGCTCAGAGGGGAGAGGCTCCTATACTCCGTTCCAGAGATCCTAGGTTTAAATCCGCCCGGTGGTGGTTGCATTAGCTGACTCCAAGAAGCCATGAAATCTTTGGTTTCATTTGTCTTTCAGCTTTGGTCAAATGCACCGGAAAATCTGGACCTCACCCTCTTCTCACATCTGGTGGAGATCCTGCAGCCCTCGAGGTACCCAGTGGGTTTCGGTGGCAGAGACAGGAGGAGCTAATAAGATTAGGGGGGGATTTTTTTTGAAGGTCTGCGAAGGAGTTAGGTACCCAGATCGCATTGAAATTCCATGGAAGATGCCAGACAGTTCACTCTTCTAGGGCCCTGTGAAAATCCAAACTTTCATTTACTGGCTTGCTGGCCGCGTCACAGAATCATTGGAGCAAATTCCTGTCTGAGGACATTGCATTAACTTCAGCAAGGTTACACCAGCAGAATACGTGACCTACCATAGTTAGAGAAAGAAAGGGTGTCGTCAGTCCCCCTGCCTAAGGAGACTAGATCTGAAGTGTTTCATGTGTTGAAAGGCGACACGTCCAGAGAACTGAGTTTGGTAATTGCAAACTCTCTCCCCGCACTTACCCGCCGTGGAGAAAGACATCTGTAAGGCCAGTTTGGAGCAGGAGCTTTCTACTGTGCAAGTCTCGGGATGACAGTGCCCTCAAAGGGAGATCAGATCTTCTCTTCTACTTTTAGAGGAAGAAGATGGCTCATTATTTTTCACTGGTTATTTATTCAGTGCCCAAAATATGCTGGGCACACTACAGACAATGCCTAACCGGAAACCAGAATAGTAATAGAGATGTAGCCGTGTTAGTCTGGTCTTGCTGAAACAAAAAACAGGACTATGCAGCACTTTAAAGACTAGCAAGATGGTTTATTAGGGGATGAGCTTTCGTGGGCCAGACCCACTTCCTCAGATCAAATTGTGGAAGAAAAATGGCACGGCCATATATACCAAAGGGATACAATCAAAAAAAGTGAACACATATAAAATTGACAAATCAGATTTTAGAAAAGAGGGGTGTGTGTGTGGGGGGGAGAAGGTTAGTGTCTATGAGATAATGATATTAGGGGTGATAATTGGGGAAGCTATCTTTGTAATGGGTAAGGTGGTTACCATCTTTTTTTGTCTTGATATTTTTCTGTTTCTTGTATAAGATACTAGTCAGGTGGTCCTTAATTTCTTGGATAGTGTGTAGCAGAGTTTCTCACGGTAGTCAGTACAGTAAGTTGATCTTAATGGGTGGTTCACTTTCAGTCCTTTGGGTCCGATGTCCATCTTTTTGCACTTCGATAGGAAGATAATGTCTGTCTGGATCTGTGCAAGCTTTTTCCTTTGGTTGATGGATTTCCATTCCAAACGGCTAAATGTAGTGTCTTGCATGTAGAATAATAATAGAGATGTAGGTCTTGCTGAAACAAAAGACAGGACTATGCAGAACTTAACAAAGATTAACAAAGATTCTAATTACCTTACCCATTACAAAGATAGCTTCCCCAATTATCACCCCTAATATCATTATCTCATAGGGTATGTCTACACTACAGCGCTAATTCGAACTAACTTAGTTCTAATTAGTTAATTCGAACTAAGCTAATTCTACCCATTACAAAGATAGCTTCCCCAATTATCACCCCTAATATCATTATCTCATAGGGTATGTCTACGCTACAGCACTAATTCGAACTAACTTAGTTCTAATTAGTTAATTCGAACTAAGCTAATTCAAACTAACGCATCCAGACTTAAAAATTAGTTCGAATTAGCATTTTGCTAATTCGAACTAGCATGTCCACATTGAGTGGACCCTGAACCGAGGTTAAGGATGGCTGGAAGCAGTGCCGGCAGGGCATCAGATGAGGACTTAGAGCATGGAGCACCTGTCTCAGGTTAGCCGAGGGCTCTCCTTAAAGGGACCCGACCCCCTCCCCGGACAGATAGTTCTCAGGGGTTCCCCGCTTGCAAAGCAGTCCTGGCTTGGAGTGCCCCGAG